TAATAAGATATCTTTAAAAATAATATGAACCATAAAACATAAATATATAATAATGAATATTGACTGGTATGAAATCAACAACTGATTTAGAAATAATTTGTATTTGTATTTGAATTATGTTATAAAATTATTACGAGTAATTATTTCATTATTCTTCTTCGATTAATGAACAGATATTTTATTTATTTAATTCATTCATAAGAAACATTTAGAAATTCGTTTCATTTTGTTAAAATTATAAAAAAATAATTTCAAGTGATATATTAATATAATAATTGCTATAATAATTCAAATGATATATTAATATAGTAATTACTATAATAATTAATTTTAGTAATTTATGAAATTCATAACCGATGTATTTAATCGACTTCATATGGTATAACACAAGAGTGATGTAATAAGGAATTTAAATTAAATCTATTAATAAGCACTATCAAAAAGAAGTCTTAATTAGAATATAATAATTCTTATTTTTAAAAGCTAAAATATTATGTTTAATAATATTTTAACTCTAGATTCAACATAATTGAATTATTAACAAAATTTTTTAAGATTATTTTTCATAAAATTAAATATCTAATAAAATTTTCAAAATTAATAATATATTTCTTTAGAAGAAATATATCTTTCAAACATATATGAAATAATAGATAAATATCGATAATTTTTTTGTAAATTACAAAATTAGAACATTAGGATATTATTTTAATTTTTTTAATCATCTACAATTAAGAAAAAATATTTTTCATGTCTAGGATCTGCTTAAAATTATTATTTTTTTTTTTTTAGAAAGGTAAACGGGTATAACGGGATTAATAATCGTTGATCATGTTTAAGACAATAGGCATAATCATGAACTAACAATCTAATCCGTTAGATCAATGAGTCAAATGAAACTTAATCAAGACCGCTTTATTGTTTATTTAGTGTGCGAATTCTCACTTTCGATTCCTTTCGTAACCTTTTCCTGATTGTTTGCCGTTACGTGAACGGAAACAATTGCATGCGATAAACACGTGCTCCCTCTAGGAATTATTTGCTTCATTAACAATGTTTCGAAGTTGTTCAATTCAAGTACATACAAATTAAACATAAAAATTATAATTATTTTTTTATTCAATCAAAGTTTATTTATTTATTAATAAGAAATTTTATATATACGAATAAAAACTTTTTACTGTTTCTTTGATTTTTTTTTTTTTAATATATAATAATTTAATAATAAATTTGAATAGTAACGTTAGATTGTCTTATTATTATTTATTCAATTGTTAATTAAAAAGATTTTTAAAATAACTTCCTTCGACAAGTTTTTTTTAATCATGATAAATAAACTTATAATATAATCAAGTGATGTCCTAATTTCATTTTAATGTTGTACAAAGTATAACACAATTTAATCTATCTTTTCTTTTTCGCTTCTATTTACATACATATTTACATGCCAAGTTGATGCTATTGGTTTTTTATGGAATAATATGAATAATGAAAGATATTTTAATGAGTAACTAGTTCTAATTAATTAGCTAAATAAAAGATTATTATTATTATGTTATATATTATATACTTTCTTTAATTTTGTGTTTTACTTTTAGATCTTTATATATATATATAAAGAATTAATAAAATAAAATAAAAATAAATAAATAAAAATGATGAGGAGAAAAGGAAAATAATTGTTTTATATTTATTTTAAATGTAGTAATTAATATTATGAAAAGAACTTTCATAATGTTAAAATTTATGTTCAAAATTGCTTTCGATTTTTTTTTCTAAAAAATGTCAATAATAGCAATTACAAAAGTACGAACGAAAGAAATAGTAAGTAACAAGCATAATATGAAACGAAACAATGCTGCATATAATATCAATATTAAATTAATACTCTTTCATATTAATCTATTTTTAAAATTTTTAAATTTTGCATTTTTACTTTTTTCTATTTATTTATTTTTGTATTGATTATTTAATTTTTATTTCTATAATTTTGTATTTATATATATTTTATTTTTTATTTCTACATTTTTACATAATACTTTTAATACAAACTTTTATTTCATAATTTAATTGTTTAAAGTGATTAATGTTTAAAAAAATTATAAGATACTATAAAAATTATAAGATATTATAAAAATGATCTTATTCAATGATATAATGTGATAATCATGTTTACATCAGAACTTATATAAACAATAGAAGTAATAACACCAAATTTGGATTAGATTCTATCTATACTGTTTCTAAATTATAGAAGGCTGGCATATTCATTTATCTTTTAAAATATATTACAATAATTAATATCTTATCATAATTGCCATAAACAAATCTCTGATATTATCAAAAAAGAAGATATCTAAAATAAAAATGTCTTTTATTCTTTAATATTTCTTTTTTTTTTTAATTTTCTTTTAATAAAAAATAATTTTGAACCAAATAAATTTTCATTGTAAAATATCTTTTATTCAAAGAAAATATTACTATCTAAATAATTATCTAATATTATACATATTATTATTGTTTTAATTGACGATCTCTTTTAAATTTACTAATTGGCCGGATATTTTTATCTTCTTCTTTCTTTCTCGAAATTTCATTTGTTACTTCTGTTATACTTCTTTCTTTAATATCTTTTACCACCTAAAAATTAACAAAATAGTTACATTATTTAATATGATACATTTTATTTAATTTAAATAAAATGTAAAAATTATATATTTTATACAATTTCGTAAGCTGAAGATTGAATAGTTTCTTCTTCTTCTCCTTCTTCTTCTTCTTCTTCTTCTTCTTCTTCTTCTTCTGTACTATACTTAGGTGTAACAAATTGTTCTGGATTCATATCATTTAATGATCTTTTCAAAATAGATTTAGGTTTTGAAAATATTCTATAAATATCTGCTGGAGTTTCTATTAAATTTCCTTTCGATTTTAAAACCAAATTATTTTCAGAATGACTGAACTCTATCCGAAAAAAATCTTCTTCCATATCTACCATACTTTCGTTGTCTTTTTCTTTTATCGAATTTTCTTCTTTTTTTGAAATATCTTCTGATTCTGCAAATGAAACAAATTTTTTTATTTTACAAACTTCGACAGAATCTTTGGATATTTTTGTATCAGAATCCAGAACTTGTTTTTCTTCTTTTTTAAAGCTTTCTTCTTTTTCACTCTCAGAAGAACTTTCCGATTCATAATAACATTCTCCATCTTGTAATTCTTTTCCAAAATGTTCATAATCTTCTAATCTATAAATCAAAATAATTTTTAAAAAATACAAAATTTAAAAATTAGAGAAATTAAAGAATATTAAAAAATATACCTATTTAATTCATCTGCTAATTCTTCTTCAATTTCAAGTTGATCAAGTCTGTTAAATAGATCTTCTTCTGTCTCTATCTTTTTTCTTTTTTCCTGTTTCAATTTAACTAATTTCTGATGATACTCCCTTTCTCTTTCTCTATGCTTTTCTAATAATAAAAATTAAAAATTATTCAAATATTTATAGAATTTAAAATATATAGATAAATAACAAATTGCAATATTTGTAAAGAAAAATAGGTTTTACTTTTCCATTCTGTAATTTGATTTTCATTCCAATGTTCTATAATTTCTCCACCAGCAAAATCTTCAAAAAGATTACTTTCTGACATCATCATTCTTGTTTCATATAAATCTCTTTCTGCATTTAAATTATTTAACATTTCTTCGGCTCCTAGGATATATAACATAATATATAACATAATTATAATTATTATTCATTAAATTATTATTTAATCATTATATATATTAATTGATAATATTAATCATACTTTGTATTCTTCTTTCACAAAGAGCTACAGCACCTGAGGCACTATATTTTGCAAAATATCCATCACCCAAAGAAGCAAGTATTTCATTAGTATGAATTAATCTTCCTTTCATTAAAGCTCGTTTTCCAATAGGGATCATACAATTTATAAATAAATCTTTTTGAAAAATTTGTAATGTCTTTACAACTTTTTGATGACTTTTTTTGTAGGCTATCCATATTTTACATTGTTCTTCATTGCGTTGAATTCCCTTAAAAAATAATACTATATACTTTTTAATATTTATTTATTTAAAATGTACAATATTGTTAGAACATTTAATCAAAATAAATTTAATTAGAAATATAAAAGTTTAAAATAAAATTAATTTTTTTTATATATATAAAAGTTTTTTTTTTAAATTTTTATTTAACAATCTACCTTTGTGAGAGCTTCGTCCAGAAGCGCACGTTGAATTTTTCGCGTATCGTCCACGAAATTCATTGTTAAATTAAAAATTTATTAAATTAATTAATAATATATTATTAAAACAGAAAAGATCATTGATTTCATTAAAGAAAAGAAAAATTAATTATTCATTTATTATGTATAATAAATATTTGTTTTATATTTAAAACTTTTAAAAAGTTTGACATCAATGCATTATATAAAATATTTTGTTTAACTATCTAAATTATTTTATAATCACATTTTAATTTAAATATATATTGTCATAATTCTTATTGTAAATATTCTTTCAAATTTCTTAATTTCTTAAATATAACCTAACAAATAGTATTCAAATCTGACGGATCTTTAGAATATTAGTCTAAAGATGTCACTGTACAAAAATGATACTAAAAAGATTAAGTATTAAACAATTTATTAATTTTTTTAATAATTTAATTATATAAAAGCTTATTTAAAACTATTACAACTTTAATATTTTTTTCCAGAAAAAAATATATTTTTATATTATAAATATTCATATTCATATAAATATAATAAGTATTCTCGTTGATAGGTGGCTCTGTAGTTGCAATTTATATATTTACTAGAAACATGTAATTATATGTTCCGTTAGTTCGTGACTTTCTTTCTTGTTTCCTTTTTCCATAGAAGAGGTATCACAGCAAAATGGTTAGTGAATTCGTGAAAATCTGTTTTCAATTAAAGCATCCTATTCAATTGTTGTTTAGAAATTTTATCATAATTTTTTTGTTCATAATACAAATAAAAATATCTAATAATTTATGTAAATAGAAGGATCTTTAAAAATAATCGTGCACATAACCTTACTTTTTTAATAAGATATTTTTTTTATTTTTAACGAAAATTTTTCGATCTATTATATGTTTAAATATATATATATATATGTTTGTTATTGTTGAAATCTTTAAAATTGGCTAAGTGTATAAAAGTGCAATGTAAATAGTGTTGTGCTTATCGTTTCAGGGTAAGGTTAAGTGTACTGATCTGAGGATAAAAGATAAAAATGAGTTGCTCAAGCAACTGGAAGAACTCAAAACTGAATTAACAAATCTTCGAGTGGCAAAAGTTACTGGTGGTGCTGCATCGAAACTTTCGAAAATGTATGTATATATTTTTTTAATTTTAATTTTATTACATTTATATTATTTTATTTATATTAAAAACTCAAGTATAAAATTGATCTAATAATTTATAAGAATAATATATAAAATTCATTTATTATGTATAATAAAATAAAAATAAGGAATTTATTCATATTCTAAATTAATAATAGTTTTATTAATCATTTTCTTCTTTTTTCAAATATTTAAAAATATTAATGTTTTTATTTTTTTTTATATATTTCAGCCGTGTGGTGAGAAAAGCAATAGCTAGGGTATACATTATTATGCATCAGAAACAGAAAGAAAATTTGCGTTTGTTGTATAAAAATCACAAATATAAGCCTTTGGATTTAAGGCCAAAAAAAACCAGAGCGCTTAGAAGGGCATTGACACCTTATCAAGCCAACAGAAAGACTCTAAAAGAAATACGCAAAAGATCTGCTTTCCCTCCAAGGAAATATGCTTTAAAGGTGTAAATTGCAAGGTATTAAGGGATAAAATAAAGGTTTTTTAAAAATTCAAAAAAGTATTATTTTTCAATATTTAGGGAAAAAGAAATAAAAATTTAAAAATTATTGACAGATGCCTTATATTTTGTATAGAAAAGAATACAAAAATTAAACTTAGATAAACAGCTTCTATTTAATCTACATCTAATCCTTGACTGTTTAATATTTAACATTGTTTAAATTTGTTTTAAGGATATAATTTTTTAAAATATAATTAAATATGAATAAAAAAGTTTAATTTTTAATTACAATCAATAGATTATCATATATAAATTAGAATTTAAGAAATAAAAATGAAATTTATTAAAATTATACTCATTCAATGAAAAACAGCTTTAGATATTTAACATTCAAGAAATAATAGAAGCTGTAAAAATTTAAAGACGAATGCCAGGGTTTCTAGAAAGCACAAAGTTCAGAAGTTCATCACTGTCCTCACAGACAAATGGTTTTCGATGATGGCAAGCTACATCATGCCATTTAATTCCATCATTATAAAAATTATTTAGAATTGATAAACAAGATTCATCGTTACCCTGCAATATAAATCCATGTATTAAAAAACTATTAAAAATGAAATTTGAATAAGACAAATGAGAAAATATATATGAATATATATATATAGGAATATATATATATATTTATAACAAGTTATAAACGATATTTGAATTAAAATAATTTTTTATCAATATTATTTAAAATTAATAAACATTTCAAATTTTCATTGTCATTCATCGTTCGAATTTATTTATGTGTGTATGTGTTGTGTTTATGAAAAAATAATAAATTACCTGAGCAGCCTCACGATTATCAGGTTGTGCTTGTCCATATCCACCAGTGTGACTCCAATCTCCAGTATTACGCTGTGTGGTTGGACCAATTTTGGCTCCTGAACCGGACCAAAACCATCCATTGATGTTCTGAGGTTGAAGATCTGGTCTATCACAACCATTGAAATTACATTTGCGTCCAGATGTCCAGATATATCTTACATTTCCTATATAAAGATAAGAAATAAAAATTAATTTTAAAATAAAAATAAAACTGAAATAAGATTTTGTTTAATAATTAACCTCGTGCTATTCGTTGTTTGATAAATTCATTTTCTTGCGGTGTTTCAAGAGAAACTGCATCCATACAATGTCTGCGACAAATATTACGAGCATCCAGCCAATCTACTTCGAGATTTCTAGTCGGTTGATGTTCCCAACTGAAAAAATACGAATGTGCAACACCTCTAGCATCCCTATAAGTGGCGTGTCGCACCCCTAAAACAGGATTTATTTTTTTATTAAAAAGATTAAAATAAATCAAATTGAAAAACACTTACGATTGGCACAACTACGTGGATCAGGAAGAGCAAGTCGGCGTTGAGCATTCACCACAATAATGGTGAGAATTAACATTAGCCATATCATTCTCATATTCATAATTCCTAAACAAACGAAAATCTAGATTTAGAATATGAGAATAGTTTTAAAATGTTGAAATTCCATTGTCTAAATTATGAATAAAAGAATTTGCAAATATAGTAAAAAATTGATGAAAGTCATTCAAAGTTATCAGAAATAGATAACAAAAAATTTTTTAGAGAACGAAACAGGAAACATAAAAGCTTATAATTTATTAATAATTTAATTTCTTTATTATATATTATAAATTAATTTATTTTTTACTTTAGAAATATTTAAGAATAAATGATATTTAACAACTCATTATACGAAATGACTTTATTAAGGAAAAAATATTAGACAGTGAATGTTCCAGGAAAACATCTTGTGTTGCATATCTATAGCAAGTAAAAGTTTCTTGAGAACGAATCTTTGTCGAGGGTGAAAGGAGACTCTTCAACGGTGAATTATGACCCGAGAAAGAGAGGATCGAAGGAAGATCTCTCACGGCGACGATAGAAAAATGCTGGAAGATTTTGCAACAGGTTTTTATTTTTTATAATGTACCGCTAACTTTTCTCAGAGCCTTCACAGGCTTATTGCAACTTTCTAAATTGTCTTGGTGACAAAACAAAACGTCAGATGATTTGCAATTAATAGCTGCAGTGAGCATATGAGGCAATTATTTAAGTAACATTCTAAAACATGATAAAGATATTGTGAGAATACGAAAATATTCATGAAGAAATATAATTTTAAGTAAAATGTAAAATTGCTATTCACTAACATTTTGAAAAGTAATTAGAACAAGAATTTAATATAGAAATTTTGAATCATGTTCAAAATATTAATTTTTAAATTGGTTTTAATGAAAATTATTTGCACTTTATATATGTAAAATATAAAGTATAAAAAGAAATAATAATATAAAAAAAAATTTTAAGTAATTCAGAAATTTAAAAATTGAAGAAATATAACAATCTTTATTATTTCTAAAAATTGTATATATTTATTATTGAAAACAAAAAAAGTTAAAAGTAATTGTCTATGCTTAGACAATCTACGTCTATAAAAAATACTCTTTAAAAAAAGAATTTATAATTAAATGAAAAGAAAATCGCACTAAATTATAATTATATTTACTTTTACAATCACTAATATTTTTATTTAATAATTCAGATAATTAAAATATCTAATGCATAATCAATATTGCATTAAATTCGCTCATGTTTGATTATCTTCTCTGAATAATAATGATTTTTATTTTGCATTCTATGCCATTGCGGATTTAATGAAACTCCGTTCATAATGTTGCGGCTTTCGCTAAAAATTAGTGTCAGCGGTCATTCACCTAGATTAAAGAAATGCTAATTCATTTTTAGAGAAATAATTTAATTATAAACCAAAATAAAACAGAAATTTCATATATAAAATGATTTTTAATGATTATAAAGAAAGTTTAATATATTTCAAATTGCATCTCAATTTGCATCAAATATATTTTGTAAAGTAATATTTAGTAAATTTATTGATGCCTTGCAACATTATACATTATTTATTCCGCTATAACTCTATACAAATTTAATTAAGTGAATAAAAATTTAATTATATAATTCTTATATTTTAATAAACAACATTTAAAATAATTCCCCATGAAAGTAAATTGTTAAAATTCTAAAATGAAAAAAATGAGTTATATGAATTGTTATATAAATTATTTTATTGATTGTAACTTAAGATTAAATATCTTCATGGTTCATTAAAAATTTTCTGAAAGAAAATGCTAAAAATTTCGATAGAATGTTGTTTTATTTATTAAGAATTACTATTCTGTTACGAAAAGATTAGAAAATTTAAAAAACAAGTTACTCTCATGAATTACTAATTATTGTTTCCAACGCCATCTTTGATCTAACCCTTATATTAATCATTATGATTAAATTTGTAATATTTTAAAAATTTAATTAAATTTCTATTTTTAATAATTAAATATTAATCAGAAGTTTATATTTTATTTTTATAATATTATTTCTATAAATTTTTTTTAGATTGGATATGTATTTAATTAGTTTCTATTTGAAGGGTTAAAAGAGTATTCGCAAAAGAACAAGAGAAAGAGGGAGAGATCGTGGCTTTATTTCGTATCCGCATATGTGCTCGTGG